TGAGGCAAGAGGCCTCAGGAGCATCTAAAGGTTTTGTCAACACAGCAATGCCGTCCATAGGCCAAAGACAGCTGTTGCCATAGTTACTATCAGCCAGCTTATCAGAAAATAATTATTGCGATTCCTCAGAAGTTTTGTTAAAACAATTAAAAGCTTCAATAGGATACCACTTGATCTCCTCAATTAACTGTTTGCAACTACACTGCCTTTGGGATCCACATGGTTAACAACACTTGGATCTGCAATGTTGAAGAGGAAAAAGGGCAAGAATCAATGTTCCTTCTCCCTTTCCTACTGACAGCTTGGATTTCACAGGCAGAAACAAGGAAACCAAACCACCGAAAGCTTGGCTGCTCTGCTGGAGTTCCCTCGCAGGCCTGGAGACTGAGTCCAGGCACAGGCCATCTTAAGAGTCACAGGCTCAAATCTGCCCTTGTTTGTTTTAACCATTGACATATCTATACTGCAATTCAAGAAACACACAGACTACATTTTCAAAACCTATTTCTAATTACACTGCAAAGATAGTCCCTCAATTCAGAGGCAGCCATCATAACTTCTGTATCAAGCGAACTTTCTCTTTTGACTACAAGTGCAGTACTGTCAGGTGGAGGGGCAGAATAAGAAAACAAACATTTCAAGAAATTAAGAAGCATAGAAGTTATGTGAGCGTGGCCTAGGACTGAGATCTCTCTCCTCTGCATACCACTTATAAAGGCATTCCCACCAGTAACAACAAACATTAGGCAGGGGCTGGGGGTCTAGCGGGGGTGGGGGCGAAACATTTGTTTTCTGGTGTGAGGTTTTTTAAAGCATGCTTTGAGCATCCAATCTCTTTTAATCCAGGAGTGAGTACTTGTATAACAGTGAAGAAGAAATCTCAGGCATGAGGGAACAAATAATAGGTCAAACCTTATAGGCAAAGAGCTTTTAAGGCACGAGGTACTTGATAATTCCATCAGAGATATTAAAATGATATAAACAGTAATCAGAAAGCCTATATCAAGTAGCACTCTTCCTCAAAACCTGGCATGATCAAAGTATTAAAACAAAAGACTCTGTGGTAAACTTGAGGCTTTGTTAGGACAGTAGACGGGTCAATCCTCTCAGACCAAAGGAAGGGTCCTGCCAGAACTTTCTACAGCTACAAAAATTATTTTAGGGACAGACAATTCTAACTGCAAAATCTGACTGCCATGTGAGTGCGCCTTTCCTCGTCACTAAATACAGTTTAAAAACTCTCGATTTCCACATATTTTACAGCCATTCTATGAGCTATATTTGCCACTTCACTTTTGTAAGGTTTTGACATAACAAAAGTAGAATCAAACAAACTCAAAATCATAAAAGTGAGGAGTCCAGTGAGAACTTGGTACGGTGCAGGAGCCACAAATTATTTAAAACTTTCGAAAGAAACACAAGGGCTTTTCTTTTTTAAAAGAGACTGTACTTGCAATAAGGAAAAAAAAAAGAAAGGGAAATAAGAAAACACAAAGTTACCCCCCGCCAAATGTAAATAAAATTCTTTTTTGCCTGCATAATGCATCTCTCTACCACCAGCATAAGCCAAACACTGGCTTTGTGCTATACTGAACATGAAATATTAATGTAAGATACCTATAAAAACTATCCTTTTATACCCTCTATTTACATGGTAAAGAAGTAAGTATCTAGCCCCTTGCATTTAGCAGACATCTCAAAACCCTTCTGTGCTCTGCCCCACCTTTCCAGTATATGGTTGGTTCCTAAATAACCTTTGTGCTGTTAAAATACATCAGAAACAGGATGTGAGCTGCTTTCTGGCACAGAGTAATTGAACAAGGGCAATTCACGAACATACAGGAGCCAGGCCTTTTGTAGAGTCTTACACTTCTAGTATACAGCTACGCATGTGACTGCACAGTTGTGAGCATAAAGGGTGAAGGGGACAGTGAAGAAATACTATTAGAAGCTTAATAATAGGTTTTTAGCACTGCTCCTTCTACACAAGAAGCCTCTCTCGAAGGAGAGGCTTTACAGTTCACATCCCTGTAGGATGGCCCCTCAAAAAGCAAAGCCCTATCACAGCTATGAAGTTCTTTCTGGAGGATTTTAAACAAGTAAAACCAACAAACCAGAAACAATAGTAAAAAAGACTAAGTCACCAACATGTGTTTCTCACATGATAGTCATCTTGAGTTTCTGGTATCCACAAAAAATGCGAATAACATATGAAATAAGATAGTCCATCAAGGTTCCTTCAAACTGGACTAAAATGAAAGAGAAATCTCCATGGTAAACAATTTCCAGTACCAATTCATTTGACCAAATAAAGTTCTTCAGGGCTCTGAGAATAAGTATAAAGGAACTGAACAGCTACAATGTGTTCATTATAAACAAACTGCATGAGCAACCCAAGTGATAGCCAGGCTCACTATCAAAGCTTTCCAACTGAACACGGAATTTTACAACTTTCTACGGAGTCAATAAAACACATTTTATTTTCAAAAACAAACAAACAAAAAGTGCATGAAAATTGTATCCCTTGTACTAATCCACTCCAAGACATTTTTAACTATTTTTTTTGAACCATAATTTCTAAGTTGAACAGGCACATAGAAAACGTCATCTCTAAAAAAAAGAGAAGTTGAATTAAGAACTATTTAGGCCCAATTCTTGAAGCACAGCTGAAGCTGAACGGCTTAGGGTTACAAAACCTAAAATCAAAGCAGAGATTTCACCGTTGAAGCCGGAAAACACAATAGGACTTTTTTTTTTTCTGAGCAACATAAGTTTTAATTTCCTCATTTTGCTTTAAGTTCTTTGAAAGAAAAGTTTTTTTATTTTCATTCCCTAAAGAAAGAAAACCACTTTCAAATGCCTTCTTCCAATTCATAACAAATCCAGTTCAGGGAGCACATAGAGAAGAGCAAAGATTAAAAGCTTTCCTGTAGAAATCTTACAATAACTAATGGCAAAATAATTATTAATAACAAAATACTCCTCAACACAACATTTTGAATTATACACACTAGCTTTGTTAGTTAAATGAAAAATCAACAAAATCCACAATGGGATCCACTCCAAGTTTCTTGTCACTCGGGCCAGTACAGCTAAAAAGTGGGGATATGACACAGGTGACATCCAGCTGGTGGTAAGTACTCTCAGTGAGCAAGCACCTACCTTCTGCTAGACAACGGGTCTCTTAAGACCTTGAAGAGACACTCTACCCATGCTACTATGCAACATGAAATCAATGGATAAAGAAGTTGCTTCATAATCCCTCTGTATGAGCTCAAACTCCTAGCTGATGTAACTATCATAAAATAATCTAATTTCTCTACCACAGTAAAGTTGAAAGGTTTAAAAACATGGAAGAATCACATCATTTTTTTAAAATACAGTTTTAAAGTTTCATTAATTGAGCTACAGAATTCCTTTCTAGGAAACAATAATAAAAAGTGCCCCCAAAGAGGCAGTTTCATTTAGCTATCTTGAAGCATGCACAGATATGAATAAAATTCTCAAAGTCTGTGATCTTTCTACTTAAGTGTGGTAATTAACTTCTTTAACTAATATGAGCAGCTATGCATATTTTTTGTTTCTTTTTTCAAGATCCTGTTCTCAGTAGTAATTTAATATCACTATTTAATATAACCTATAAAGTTATATCATACATGATCACTAACAAGCTTAATATAAATGTTTTAGCATTTAACCTGGCAGAAATAATGAATTTTATATTTTTAAGGGTTGTTTTTTTTTCCTAAGGCTTTGAAAAGAATGTTATTTTTTTCACAAATTAAGCCCCGAAATAAGCCCATCTTTATCAAAGTTAAAAACTCCCCTGCTATGTAGCAGATCCAGCCCCACCAACTAACCCGGCGAAGGACAGGAAAGCCAGAGGAAGCTGACTTACAAAACTGAAACTAAGCAGGTGTCTTCATTGTTAGAAGTGAGCACAATGGGGGAAAAAAAGTAAACAGACAGCTAAAATCCTTCTTATTTCTGATACCTGAAAATCTACAGCTAAGCAAAAAAGATGCATCCATCTATAAATCCATCTATCTTGGTGTACAGGAGAATCCGTCCTTTAACCTGATAACAAGCAACACCACAAGAAAATTTCCGTGGCCCAAAAGAGCCTACCCCTTACTGGAGCCCTGCCATTACGGAGCGCACATCCCCACCTGATTTCTCCACGCTCAGACCTGCCGTACATCACAGTACACAACTTTCCCGTGACACGCCAAGTTATTACCCCCAGTGGGACCTTTTTACATGCAGTCTCCACAGCGAACAAAAGTTCATTGTCAAGCTCAGCGCTTGGGCCCAAACAAATATCCAAAGGGGGTAGGAGGAGGAGAAAGGGGGGAAGCACTCCTACCCACAATTATAAGATTTGCAGGCAATCACCGTTACTTACAATTAAAAAGTGGGAACAGGTGTAGGAGATATCATACTTTGATAGCTGAACAAAGAATATTACAGCACGTGACTGAAATGTGATGACATTTGTTCACCAATCGAAAACAAAAGCCACTCTCCAATGGCACTCTTTCCTCCACCCCCAAGAATTAGGAACTTGGAAATCTCTCCATATTGAAACACATCTGTTCATAGCCTCATTTTTTGACACTTGAGAAGAAGTTGAATGAAGAGCTCCATGCATTAATCTAACACGAATTTACCCAAAAAACCTCATCGTACAATCCCATCAGCGCCCACCAAACTGCAGAAGGTAGCTGGGGGGAAAGCTCTACCGACAGCGAAGCTCGGAATAATAAAGAACAGAAAAAAATCAAAACACACACTACCACCAAAAAAAAAAAAAAAAAATCCCGCAGAAAGGCAAGTGAAGAAAGGAGCATGCACAAGAGGACTACACCAAATGGCAGAGTCCCACATAGAGCCCCACTCCACCTACACGGGCGCAGGAGGGAGGGAAAAAATAAAAATAAGGAAGTGTCCGTACCTAATGCCGGAGCAGGAGTGGGCACCCCCGGCCCCCGGCCCCGTACCTGTGCGGGAAGGGCAGCCCCAGGGCGAGAGGGGCAGGCCCGGCTCCGGAATAACAAGTTGCTGAAGAAACGGAATTTTCCCGGCGCTGCTCGGGCCACAAAGACGAATGAAAGGAAGGAGGGAAGGAAAAAAAAAAAAAACGCAGCAGCGGCTTTACTACGAATTATCCATCATCGAGAGCGGCATCATTTCCCAGATAATAATAAAACTTCCCCGACAGCATCGCGGCGAAGGACCCGACCAAGAGAAAAGGGCCTGGAAATAATCATCCTGAAGGAAACCGGAGGGGAGGGGATAAGCCTCCCTCCCCCACCCCATCCCCAGTGCAATGTGTCATCTCCTTCCCCTGCTCCTCCCCCCAACCCCAATGTGTCACCTCCTCCTTTTACCCCAAGTGTCACCCTCCTCCACCTCTCCCGCTCCCGCTCGCAAACTTCTGCCGGGGAGGCCGGGGGCCGCCCCGGGACGCTCCGCTCTTCCCCCACCCCCGAGGGAGGGCCGGGGCCGTGGCGAAGTTGCTGCTCCTCATCGCCAAGTTGGCCGAGAGTGCGGGCGCGCTGGCGCCATCCGGGGGGCGCGGGGGGAGAGGGGGGAGGCGCCGGGGGCGGGGGGGGGCAGGGGAGGAGGAGAGGCGAAATCCGAAGGTGGGATACTACACCCTGCTGGCGGCGGGCGGTGGTGCTGCGGGCCGGCGGGTCCCCCTGGCAGGACTCTCTGTGAGGGGGAGGACTCTTCTTCATAGGGGGAGGGTGCGGCGCCGCCGCTCCTCTGGGCCTCCCTGTCCCTCTTTCTGGCGCCTCTCTCTCTCTCCTCCTCTCACTTTCTTTAAGCTAAGCGGGGAGTGGAAGATGGTAGGTTGCTCTTCTCCCCCTCTCTTCGCTCGCTCTGCCTCTGTGGGTCCTTTTCCTTTCCCCTCTCCGCGGGGGCTCTCTGCGGCGGGGAGGAGAGGGCGGCGGGGAGGCGGACGAAGCCGGAGAGGGCGCAGAGGAGAGAAACTGTGAACAAAAAGCGAGAAGCTGACTCTTCTTCATCCCATTCACCGGCCGGCCGCAGCACCGCTCGCTGGGATCCCTCCGCCACGGCCTCCCTGCTGCCTGCCTGCGGCGCGCTCCCGACACGCCGCCGCGCGCGCCCCCGGCCCGCCCGGCCTGGCGGCCCGCCGGAGACCCGTAGGGGAGCGGGGAACGCTGCGCCACGCCCACGCTCCCCCTCCCACTGCGACGGAGGGGCGCCGCCGGCCGGTCGGGCGGGGGGAGCCGTGAGGGCGGGCTGGCGGCTTCTCCTAAGGGGGGACTATTTGACGTGTCGGTGCGGCGAATTTATTTCCCTTTGCCTAAGGAACGGGCTGTGCTGCGGCCCCCATTGCCTAGGGAAAAAGCCCGGATGTAAAGTGAGTGAAACTAAAGTAGAGTGAAGTAGGGCACCAAACTCTGCCGGAGCAGCGGCGCCGCCGGCCGCGGCGGGCACGGGGCGGCCGCGCTGCGCCGCACCGCCGGTACCGGGCGGCCGTGAGGGCGCGGGGACCGGGGGGAGCAGCGCGAAGGGCGGGGGGGCCGCGCGCCTGCCGACCCCCCCCATACACCCCAACATCCCCTCCCTCCCCGCCCGCCGGCCCGGCGCGCGGGGCTCGGCGGGGCGGCGCGCGGCGCGCGCGCGCGTCCGCGCGCAGGAAGCGGGGGGGGAGCGTGGCGCGTGGGGCCCCGCCGCGAGGGGCTCCGCACAGGAAGTTGATGCAACAGGCGCGGGGGGGCGGGGGGCGCGCGCAGGAAGCGGCGCGGAGGAGCGCGAGAGCGGCGGCCTCATCCCTGGATGATCAATCCACTGGATGACCGGATGCGCCACGCCCGGCCGTCGGGCAAAGAGCCGCCCCTCCCCTCCCGCACCGCCGGCCCTGCCATGTTATTCGCAGGAATAGCGCACCCGCTCGCCGCGCGGCCGGGCAGGGAGGGAGGGTGTTCCCTCCTCCTCCTCGCCGTTCGCGCAGCGGGGTTGGCTTATTTATTTATTAACTTACTACTCCGGTGCCGGGCGATGCTGCCATTTGCTTTCGTGCGAGCGGCGCCGCATCAGTTTCCCTGTTTTGTTTTGTTTTTTTTATCTCTCCTTCCTTTTCTAATTCCCCTCCCAAAAGAAAAAAAAAAAAAACAAACACCAAAACAAGAGAACCAAAAACCGTGGCCAGTCAGAAACTTTCATAAGCAGGTTCAAAGCAGGGAAGTTGCACGCCATGGATTAAAAGGTTTCTGCGGTGCCCGTTGGCGTGAAAACCAAATAAACGTGACTTGGGGGCTCCTCGCTCCCTCCCTCCGTCCCTCGCCCCCAGGGGCGGTGCCGGGCCCGCCCGTGCGGCGGCTCGGGGACCACCGTCCCCCCAGCTGCCAGCTTGGGCACAATGAGCTGCGGGGGGCTGCCCGAACGCGAGCAGCTGACCTGTGCGGGGTCGGTCCTCATCTGCAATACACTGGCTTAAGTTACAGGCATGCCCCTGTGCGTCTCCGCCTTCTGAAAGTCTCCGAAGTCTCAGAAATACTTAAAACCTGGCCTTTATCTCGGAGCCACCATTGGTAAAGCAGTGGGACATATTCTGGACGCCGCGGACTTTGCGTGAGCTCTCACAAAAAGACCGTGTTTGATGCAATGCGAACTCCATTTTTTTTAAGTAGCCTCTCTCATCACTTTATTTCTTCAGAATGCTCACAAGTTGTGAATAAAAGTAAGTGTTTGCATTATCTCTGCAGATGCTTCAGGAAGTCACGATGAACTCATTATTTTATTGTGAAACTAAATCCATAAAGCAGTCATGATGAGTAACTCGGGGACTTGTCGTAATTGGGCAGTAACGCAGAGTTTTATCATCTGGAGGATTCTAGTGGGCTCAATGTGAGTGAGCGTTTACAGCAAGGTTTCCTCTCAACTGTAAAAAAATATTGGGCCATTGTTTATTTAGTTACTGTTATTTTCACCGTTCTTTTCCCTCAGGTGGTTACCAATTCTGTGTGATTTAATTGTGAACTTTACAACATTTAGTGCCCTTCTTAAAGCTGTAGCTCCTGGACTCATACAATTATGCAAGAAATTCAGGTTTGGGGTTTTTTTTAATGAAGTTTCTAGCCTCTGGGTTTGTGGATGTGACCTTAGAGACACAAACCTTAAAGGAACAAAAAGGAAAAGGTACAAAGCAAATGGAGTAATCCAAAAATGCCTTTTTTTTTAATGTCACTTTGTTTGGCTTTTTCTTTTTGAGACAATCTCTCCTATACCGTCTTTTTTTTTTTCTTTCTCTTTTTTTTTTCAAGCCAGGTATGATACTGAACAGCAGGGCTGATGGAGAACTAAAAAAAGAAAAACACAGAGAATATATCAGAGTGCTTGTGAAATAGTTACCAATAGGTACACAGTTCATGGAATAACAGGTAAGGAAGGGCACGTGGACAGGACTACCAAAAATCTAGCAGCCACTGCAATAGATTTTTCATGTGTCCAACACTGTCAAGAAGTGTTATGGTTAGTATAATTAAGATATTACACAGTTTCTAATGAATATATATTTGCTTTTTATACTTCTTTCTACTTTACTTCTACAGCTTTTGAACAGATCAAGTAATCCTGGGACAAGGTCTATTACTGTCAGATCTGCTTGTAGTTTACTGTGATTTCTCCTGGGGCTGGGGCACCGTCCAGCCACCTCCCTCCTCACCCCTCCAGTCTTGAGTCCATAACCAATTTTTAAATACTCTGAAAATCCCAGCCCCAAAACTCTGATTTTCCTCCCTCCGTGTAAACTTTTACTACCAGCCCTTCAAGCTGTAGAGGCTGAGTGTTACAGCCAAGACAGCCTGGATTTTGATTTTACCTTCAGTTAGAGTTTGAAGCAAGAAGGGGAGTCAGCTTACTCTGAAAACTATAAGACCAGAGTTGCTTTTTTCCTTCAGATTTTTTTGATAGACACACCAGAGAAATAAATAACTGAGTAAAGCCAATGTATTTCACTGTTTTTTTCTCTTCCTGGTTAACAAGCAAGTTAAATGAAGCTAGAATGAGTGATTTAAGTGTTTTTAGAGATTTGGCATGTTTATTCTGCTGAGAAGTCAATACACACAGCCTAAAGTTTGTTTTGGAGATGAACTTTGGACAAAGGAAAAATAATCATTAGCTGTTACTGTAGATGCACACAGAAATTTTTCATGGTTTGTCTTAGAACTCAAACCCTAATGGGTACTCACACACTGCCCACAGTAATCTTTGGGTCACAGCCAGGTAGAGTGGCTCAGATCATTTGCACAGAATCATAGAATGCTTTGGGTTGAAAGGGACCTTAAAGATTGTCTAGTTCCAACCCCCCTGCCAAGGGCAGGTACACATTCTGCAAGACCAGGTTGCTCAGAGTGCCATTCAACCTGGCCTTGAACACTTCCAGGGATGGAGCATCCACAGCCTCTTTGGGCAACCTGTTTCAGTGCCTCACCACCCTCACAGTGAAGAATCTCTTGCTAACATTTAATTGAAATCTACTGTCTTTCAGATTAAAGTCATTCCCCCTTGTCCTATCACTAGATGCCTTGTCAGAAGTCCCTCTCCAGCTTTCTTGTAGACCCCCTTTAGGTACTGGAGAACTGCTATAACGTCTCCTCAGAGGCTGAACAGCCCCAACTCTCTCAGCCCATCTTCACATGGGAAATGCTCAAGCCCTCTGATCATCTTCGTGGCCCTCCTCTGGTCTTGCTCCAGCAGGTCCGTGTTGTTCTTATACTGGGGACCACAGAATAGGACAAAGCACTCCAGCTTCTCATAAGGTCTCCGGAGAGCAGAGTAGAGAGGGAGAAGCACCTCACTCGACCTGCTGGCCACAGTGCTTTTGGTGCAGCCCAGGATGTGACCCTGCACATTGCTGGGTCATGTTGGACTTCTCATCAACCAAACCGAACTCAGCAGTTTAAACCACCTGATTATCACAGACATGCTGGAAGTTTTTCCTTTAAAAGCAGTGCAGATACACTACTCCTTTGTTCAGACTTGCAATGCTGAAGAGAAGTGGTTCCTGCCTTTGTGCTGCTTCACTTCCACGTCAGCAAAAAGGGCCACTACAGGTGTATGTGAAGCATTCACCTTCTTGTAGCATTAGAAGTGGTTTCATGTACGAAATGGAAAGCAATAATAACCATCAAATGCACAGCCAAATGCTTGAATAAACTGGCTGGGTTTGTTCGTTGGCTTCGTACAGAGATATCTAGCATGATTTCCTTGCAGTGAAAAGAAATCTTGCTAGAAGCCTAGCAAAAACATTCCCTCCTTTGCTTGTTGAGTCTTTGTGCACGAAGTTGACCCATGCACTTCTGCCTCCAAATGTGATACTGCTCATCAAAAGTCATAGTTTGGTTTGTCCAGATTTTGCACTTTCTGCTTGATCACATCATCCTGGATGCTCATCCAGCCCTCTTTGCCAAGTTTGTTTCCTAAGAGCACTTAGAAGTACAAGGCTAATCCAAAGTCATTTCAAAGTTAGTGTAAAACTCAGAAAAATCAACAGGATTTGATGAGAACTTTTAAGGAGCTGCTAAATGGTATTTCTCATTGAATGTTATTTCACCAGTTTTGAAGAATTTCAGAGAAAGAAGCACAGTACATGTAAAGTATTAATGCAGGGGCAACTCAAGAGTAATAGTCATTGCTGACAATTATTGTGCCAAGTGTTCAAAATAAGAAGTTACATCATAACATGCTAGCTTTGCTGTAGCCATCCCATCTTGCAGTGCTGTTTGTTGAGAATACTTGGGACAAAATCTTAGAAGACATTAGTTAACACACAGAAACAGTCTTGTAGCAGCTCTTGTTAAAAGGAATTACCAGCAAATGCTCTGGCTCCTAACACACAGGTCACAGATTAGGTTGACAGAAGAGTAGCCACATAGCATTTTCTCTTCCCCTGGTTTTCAGCAACAAAACTACCTTAAAAACTAAACTAAGAGTTAGTTACTTGCTTATTGCTGTTTTTCACTGTGCTTTTGGCAGGAATGCTAGATGGCTGCAAGTAAGAGAGGAGATAGCCTGTGCAGCCGTGCTTAAAAGAGAAAGCCATAAGACCATTTCAGGCAAGACATACCCCAGCCTAAGAAAACAGTCGGCAATCTCTGTTTTTCTCATCGGTGTTTGAACACGGGGTTATCTCTCCAGCAGAATCCAGGCAAGGAGCTCCTTCCACAAGCAAATATCTTCCCCTTCCCAGGGTCAGGGAAGGATAGGGCATCACTCACTTCCAGATGATAAGGAAAATTAAGCGGACTGTTTAGACCACCAGTTGGGGCTAGAGCCTGAAAACATGGCTCACATGAGGCATTCACCATTAAGGATATCAGCCTAAGTGGAAATTGCATTGCTTAACACAACAACCTCTGACTTCCACCATGGATTATTGCCTTACACGGGAGCTATTGCTTACAGCAGCCAATAAAGCAGACCCCTGCTTACCCCGTTTCATCCCAAAACGACTTGCTTACTCATCAGCTGTCAGTCGGTCTGGGCAGCAGCAGTGCAGCCACAAATCTCACTTTTCTGATGTTCTGCCTGGGAGGCAGATAGGATGAGCTAAAAACGGTCGTAAGGAGTGCATTGGCTGGGACCTATATTCCAGGAAAAGTAATTCAACATTCAGGCTGCCCTGTTCCTTTTGCAAAATTCATGTTCTCCAGGCTGGCCCCCAGCAGCTGAGCCAGGGAAGGCCTGTCAGCGCAGCATAGTGTTATGTCTGTAGTGGGATTTCACTGGGGATGCAAGCTCTTCTGAGGTTGGCCTTGAAAGGATAACTCCATCCTGCCATCTCTTTGCCTGATCACTTACTGTTTTGGTTACCAGAGATACCCATTATTTCATACAGAAAGTAGAGGACTGTAGCTCAGGGCCTGGCCTGCTGCACCCAGAGAGTGGAGGGCACCTGTGAGGACCCACCACTGTCTCATACTTGCCAACAGCTCCCAGAGGTCTTCTTCCTTGGTTTCCCTCTTAGGCTTTCGGTCTTGTTAAGGTTTCGGTATGTAAAGTCAGAAAGGTTGTAATCTCCTTATCTGATCTGACCTTTAGCAAAATGCTGGATATTTCAACCACTACTTCTGTATCAGATCCGAAATTACAGGAGGCCAGAGGGTATTTTACCCTTCATAAGCCATTGCTTTCTGCTTCTGGAGGTGCATCTGCTTTCAGAAAGGCTGGTGGTCTGGCTGCTTCCAGATTGAAGGAAGATCTGAGCAGCAATCCTGTGTCTGGGAGTCAAGAGGAATGGGTCTCCTTGTATTTTTTATCTTTTCTCTTTAAGTAGAAGTGAGGAGTCATAAAGGGGACATTGCTCATGGCTCTCAGGTGGCTGGCCAGGCTGACTAAGCATGCTTATGGATCCTGTACACTGTTTAGAATCACAATGAACTAGAGATTGTGTGCCAAGATGCAAATGGTCCAGGCAGCAGTTTCTCATTTTTAAGCCAGTGGTATGAAGTATCCTAGGAGCAATTGCAGTTCCGTTATCAGGTAAAAGAAACTCTTTTTGACTCATTGTCCTTTTTGTTAAACAACAGAATGCCCACTAATTCAAACTGATTTGTTGTAATGTTGGTCACCCTGCTAAATTTTTCAGCCGGAGATTATTGGACTACTAGTGATTAGTCTCCATCAAAATACCCTTTTCCAGATCCTTCAGAAGAATTCTCCTACCTTTGAGGAACTTGAAGAGGAAAAATGTAATAGAATTGTAAAGCTATGAATGGAAATGAAACCGCTGAGTATGTTTTCAGGGACCCGCTGAAAGGAATTTGCAACTTTTGTAATGGAACATATCAGTGTGTCACTAGCCTGATAAGCAAATAGAAAGGCAGACTGGTAAACCAAAGGCATGAGCCACAGACCATGACAGCAACTACCAGGTTGTAATGCAGACATATAGATATGGCAACAGGTAGGCCTCCCACATGCATAGAAATCAGACATTCTGACAAACAGCGTCAAAAAAAAAAAGTGCATTTCTGTAAACAATTAAACACCAATAGAAGGGGTATCATGTCTGTTTAGTCTTTTCAGATGTTAGTGGTCATTTTGGCACCTTAAGGAGAAACGTGATAAACCAGAGAAGAGAGGCAAGGAGCTAAGGAAAACTATAGGATGATGATAATTGCAAGGTGTTAAGTACTTCAAATATAAATACTGATTGTGGTTTTCAAAAATATTTCTGTAAATTTGTCCCCTAAACCCTTCTATATCACTAGATACATAAAAAGCCTGTAGTTTGAGTGGATGGAGCATCTAAGAAGCAATTCAGTTCTCTAAGTATTTAACTAGACATATATTTGAGCTGCCAGTTTGGGACTACCAGCTGAGCATCATTTTGTCCTATAGAGTAATGTAGCAAGAAAAGTATCAATGTTTGAACACAGTAAAGAAGTAGTAAGCTTTGGGAAGTATTAAACTACTGGAATCCTGTGTATTTATTACATGTTGTCTTGATTTTACTGTGCTGAAAAGTAGCTCAGCATAGGCACAAGGACAAGGGAGGGAAGAAGAGCTGTGAAGTAAGTGTTATGGAGGGATGAGGAAGGGGAAACCTAGGAGCAGAGCTCTGCCTGGCTTTGCATGCAAGAATAAGAGTTTAAAATGACTCAGTGGACAGAAAGGTCAATGCTAGTGCAAACGTGCAGTGAGTTTTCACGGCCCAACAATAAGTAGCTTTAGTCATCTCTAGATTGTCTGGGATTAAGTGTATTGTGGGTAAAGATACCCCCAAGATGACTGATGCTGAACTAGCATGGGCTCGCTCACACACCACCATGCCACACAGCCTTGCATCTTCTGAGGAGCTGTGGCCCCCTGCGTTTCACAGCCTCTGGAGTCACCAGTCCTTCCTGATGGCATGACACCTTCTTCTCCAAGCTTCCCTGATGGGTCTGGCTATTTCTGGGTTTCTGCTTTGGCTGTGTTATCTTATCTTGCTGCTTTCTGGGATAATCCAGAGTTTAATGTGGCTGAGTTTTGAATTGAGTGAGAAGGGGCAAAATAAAGATCAAAAAAAGAGTCAATAAACCTGATGGACAGGGAAGACGTCTGCACAGCGAGACATTGCCCTTTTTATTTAGTCATGTCTTACAATACAGCTACCACATCATAAATTCAGAGACACGTGTTTGTAGAGAGAGGTCCTCACGGATATTTTATTTATAATTGATTTTAATATCTTCCACTCAATTCTTCTGTTGTTTGAGTGATAGGCAAGTTGCAAAATATATCACTCAAGAGTTAGGGAATTAGGCAATTAAACCTGTTTGTGTGTTCTTTGTGTTCAAAATTGATTAATAACGGTAAGATACACCAACATCATGCTTTTCAGCTAAAAGACAGTTAGATAATGTCAATATATTCACAAATCTCATTGGCATTGCTTCCCTATACGAACAGTACACATAAGTATAAATGTATTTTTCTCTCATAAGGAGAGACAGAATGAAAACACCGTTGCTTTCAAAACTCCTATTATACAATCAGATGGAAATAATAGAATCAGAGAATATCCTGAGTTGGAACTGGCCCACAAGGATCATTGAGTCCAACTCCTGAGCCTGCACAGAACAGCCCCAAGAGTCACACCATGTGCCTGAATGTGTTGTCCAAACACTTCTTGAACTCTGACAGGCCTGGTGCTGTGACCACTTCCCTGGGGAGCCTGTTCCAGTGCCCAACCACCCTCTTGGGGAAATTTTCTTAATATTCAACCTAGACCTCCCCTGAAACAACTTCAGGCCATTCCGTTGGGTCTTGTCACGGGTCACCAGAGAGAAATCAGTGTCTGCCCCTCCATTACCCCTGTGAGGAAGCTGCAGACTGCAATGAGGTCTCCCCTCAGTCTTCTCCAGGATGAACAAGGCAAGGGATCTCAGCTGCTCCTCATGTGGCTTCCTCTCAAGGCCCTTCACCATCTTTGTTGCTCTTATTTGGATGCTTTCTAACAGCTTAATATCTTTCTTATATTGTAGTGCCCCAAATTATTCACAATATTCAAGGTGAGGCTGCACCAGTGCAGAGCAGAGCAAGACAATCACCTCCCTCGACTGGCTGATGATGCTTTGCCTGATGCCCCCCAGGACATGGTTGGCCCTCCTGGTTGCCAGGGCACTGCTGACTCAGATTCAACTTGCCATCAACTGGGACCCCAAGGTCCCTTTCCATGGCACCACTCTTCAGAGTCTCATTCCCCAGTCAGTACGTACATCCGGGGTTGCCCCATCCCAGGTGCAAAATCCAGCACTTGCCCTTGTTAAACTTCATATGGTTGGTGACTGCCCAGTCCTCTGATTTTTGAGGTCTCTCTGCAAGGTCTCCCTGCCTTTGAGGAAGTCAACCTCTCCTCCCTATTTAGTGTCATTGACAAACTAGCTCAGTATTCCTTCCAGTCCCGCATCCAAGTTGTTTCTGAAGATGTTGAAGAGCACAGGGCCTAAGATGGAGCCCTGTGGAACCCCACTAGTGACAGGTCACCAGTCTGATGTTACCCCATTCACTATTACCCTCTGTGCTCGACCTGTGAGCCAATTGCTCACCCAGTGTTTATCCAGCTGTGGGCTGGACACTTTGTCCAGAAGGATCCTTTGAGAGACACTATCGAAAGCTTTACTGAAATTCAGAAAGATTACATCAGCTGTCTTCCCTTGATCAGCTAGGTGGGTTAATGTATTATAAAAGGAAGCTAAGTTTGACAAGCAGGACTTTCCCGTCATGAACCCATGCTGGCTGTGACCAATGACTGCATTGTCCTTCAGATATTCTTCAGTAATTTCCAGAATAATCATGACATATGATTGTACCATGATTGTCATGTCATGACATGACATAATTTGACTAGTTTCTTTCTCAGCAGACTTGGAAACACCATATTGAATTTGAATAAAAGTCTAGGATAGTTTGAAAACATTGCAAAGTTCCAGGTCATCTTACTCTCCATGGGACTTCTGAAAGCATCTACTCAGTGCTTGCCATCAGCCAGGTAGTTAAATAAGGAGCTGGAAGTTGTCTGAAGTCTATAAATGTCAAGGAAAATTTGTATTTTGCCTATTTATGAAGTCATTATGTGCCCACCCCCTCAGAGCAAGCCAAAGGATGTTGTTTCAAAAAAGATAGAATGAGTAAGGCAACAGAAGGAATAAGGAATAACTTTCACCTTGAGAAAAAAAAACCAACACGGGAACTAGGACTTTTCAAATAAAATAAGATAAAACTGAGAGGGAACATAAGAGGCCTACTAGAGGGAGAGCAGCATGGAGAAGGAAAATAGGGAGTGATCATTCACCATTCCTCAAGTTGCAAAAGTGGCACTGAGTGAAACAATTAGACAATTTTTTAAACAAACGAAAAGCAATACTTTTTTGCTCAATGCATAATCACATTTGGAACTCATTGGTGCAAGATTTCATGGATCCTGAAAGTATAAATGTGTTCAGAAAAGCATGAAACAAATCTACTGAAGGATGCAACATCTGACTCAGCAAGCACTTTTGCCACTGATTGCCAGAGGCTCATAGGGGGAAGATCCTTCTGGATACATCCCATTTCTTACAGTCCTCCTTAAATACTCAGGTCGGGACATTATGAGAGAAAGCCTTCTATAGAGGATGCACCTTTGGTCTCCTTCAGTATTGTCACTTTTATGAGTTCAGGAATAAAGGAAGCAGTAATATTTTGGTGGAGGAGAAAAAAAATCAGTGGAAGAGGCTTCTCTATTCATGTATGCCAATGTTATACAGACTTTGCTCTTCACTTGAATAAAGTAAAACTTCTTGTACTGTGGGTTGGGATTTTTTTCTTCTGAGAATGAAAACAGGCCTTACATTGTCATTCATATCACATTTTTGGGAATGAGAGGCAGTTTATCTTTTAATAAAAACATACTGTTCAAACAGGAATCACATAAGGGGGCTGTTTGAAAGCTGTGGAGGAAATGGACTGCATGTCCCTACTAAAGCAAAACGGGATCCTTGATCAGCACCGCTTGAAGTACTGTTTGCGTGCAGCCCATGCTAGGCAGGAGCCAGCCTGGAGACTGCCTGGTGGTGCCGGGGCCTGGTGTGGCTCTGCTGGGCCCCTGTGGTGGGTTTGCAGCTGTACCAGCTAGCCTCTTCCCTGGAGATATGGAGTCCAGGGCCTACCCACACTGCAGCTTCCACTAGGGGCCACTGCTACATAGAGGAAGAGGAGGAAAAAGAGGAGGAGGAAGAGGAAGAGGAGAGGGAAGAGTTCAGAAAGCATCACAGTCTTGAGGTTTTATTTTCAGGCACGAGGACATCTGTTTGTTAATAGGTTGGTGAACGTACATGAAGTATCACTGATTCTGTTGAGGCGCACAAGAAAAAGGGGATGGCCACTGGGAGCTGGGCTGGTTTGCTTCCACCTCGGATGTTACTGGCAGGCACTGAAAAGTCACTCCTCTTTCCAAACCCTTCTCCATGAACCATGTAAACTTAGATAAGCAGCAGATCTCTCATTCCTGATGGGACATCCGAAGGTGGAGAGGTGAAATGGCCTATGTGACAGCACTTCAGAGAGGAAGCAATGCATGTTATAACAACTAGGTTATATTTACAAATATCTATATGAAATTTGAAGCCTCCAGTTTGAAAAAGAAAGAAAGGCTTATGTGCCTAAAAGCTTGTTTGTGTTTTCCAGCAATATTAGTCGATTTCATAATATCTATATTACCTTCAAAACCTGCCCTTCTTTATCCCTAGACCATGGCAACAACTGCACTACTAAATATAATACCGAGACTTGGCAAAATATATTTTTAAGTCTCTAGTTTCAAATGAACCATGTCTTCCCCCATGTGCATGGAATACTCACTGCTTTCTACAGCTTCAGTTATGAGTAAAACTGAACTTACAGGGCCAGAGAGTAATTATATGAATGGATACTTCTGTGGAATTCACTCAAAAATTTAAAATTCTTTTGGGAATGCCTCCTGGCAGAGGTGAGAAGACTGGATATTAATCTTGATGGCTAAAATGAGAGACCTCAAACTCTACACGCCCTCATGGAGAAGAAATGCCTCCTCTATAGATTTAGAGAGATATTCAAGAAAAATGTCAAAATACTTAAGACCATTTCCAGCCCACACAACCCTTCAGCAATTCTACTTTCAACCAGAACTGAAAGAAATTAATTATTCCCCAGAAACAAATGTTTTTCTACTATTTGTGAAGTGCTAAGGGATAGGAAGTTAGACCCCTTCTACTGTCGAGTCCTTAGAGGGGATCAAATAGCTTGTGTTTATTTATCTTGACTAGCATACCGGCTGGTGGATTATCTCCTTCTGTCATCGAGATGGCTCCTTTTCACCATCAGGCAGCTGCAGAAGCAGCAGAGATTTTTTTTTTCTGATTTTTGGCTTGTCAGTTCATTGTGTCTCTCCCTTTTGGTTGGTGGAGTGAGCTGCTTGGTGGGGAATCATGCCTCTGAGGCCAGTCTGTCCTGCTCCTCTGCTGTGCCTCTGAAATATTTAGAGGCTCCTTCTTTGTTTCAATGGTGAGGCTAAAATGTTGTGATTAGACAGATAAACAATAGTGTCATTTTGCATCCTCTGTCTTAGAATACAGCTGCCCCATAGATGTGCTTTGAAATGATACAGACATAGAAGCTTGTGGTGGGAAGCGGGGGGATTCTCCACTGCAAGGTGGGATTGTCCTAGATGAACAATGCTTGCTGCAGTATCAACATCTGATTCAGATAAGAATCACAGATTTTTTAGCACTATAGGCATTGTTTGGCCCATTCAAGGAAAAGACTGACTATTTCTGCCCCTGGAAACGCAATATACAGCACCAGCATTAACAGACTCAAGCCCTTAGCTCAGTCTGAAACTGCACTCAGTGAGAAAATATGCATCTGTCT